TTTCAACCTGAATCTGAAAATCTCATCAACTCTAAACATTCATCTAGACCCAGGATAAACTTAAATTAACTGACAACCTAATAAGAGATATTGGAAACTTACACTCCAAACTTAATAGCATGATAATACATCAATAACATGTAAGGGCAACAAAAATATATAAAGGAAAACTAAGCTATTACAAAACATAAATGTAATTTGAAAATCAAGAAAGTAAAATTCGAAAAGAAACAAGTTGTGTTCATCATATTTCCATATTCAAATTCCATGTTACACTTCATGTGTTATCCATAGTCCAAAAGATACCTGAAAATCAAGAGAAAAGCAATGAAAGTGAGGGATGAACAACAACAGTAGATCAGCTAACTCAGCAAAACTAGCTTCTTTCAAAACAAATTAAACACAGACGAGCCTAGTTCTTTGGATCCTTTTTTAAAATTCTGACTATAAGGGAACTCAAAGAACAAAATCAAGCAAGTTTCACACCATTTTCAGTATTTTCAAAGTCTGAAAGAGAAGGCTCAGCCGTTTCTAAATTTCAATCTTGCAATCCTCCAAAAATTCTCCCTTGGCAATGAAGGAAACATGCCTTTTATAGAAAACCTTTAGGGCAGCAGAAATAATTTCTATTTTTACCAAATCAGTCATTCCCCCAATTTTCATTCTTTCATTTTAAGCCTTGAATTTCTAAACCAACTACTGAACTAACCCAAACCCCACTTTCCTGGAAGTTTCCTATTCAGTTTTTTTAAAGATTCCCCTTGCCCAATTTCCTAGACTACCCTTTAGACCCCTCCCAATTACCTTTAAGCCCAGTTGGGCTCGAAAACTCTTTAATCAAACTGAAAATCTCAAAAACCCCGCAACCCCTTAGGCCTTGATGCTGAAGGGCCTGTCTGTATGCAAGGCAGGCCCCAAGCCAAACGGAGCCCAAATCAAGACCAAACCTGGGTCAAATTGACCCAACAAACAAACCAAAACCCTGAGCTTGCAAACCCGGACTGACCCTCCCCTCTTTGGGCCTTTAACTTACGAAACCCAAAGTTTTGATTCCAAAACCCACAAAAGCCAATCAAGAAACTGGGCCAACAGAGTAATGAAAACTTTTGAAGCCAGGAATCCAAAGAAAACAAAATAGGAGGGAAATTGAGCGAAGTCCAACAACAAAATCAAAGAAACTAAAACAATGCTGACTAAAAATAACATAAAATCAGTATGAATGCAAAAACGATTTGAAAAACAGAAAAAACAAGAAAGAAAAAGAAAAAAACAGAGGAAGATGAGAAATGAGAATACAACGAAAGATGAAAGAAAAAAAAGGGCCAAAAAATACCTAGAATAACGTGATGGACAGTGGACTTGGACAGATCTTCCAACGCCTTCGATTTTGAGCCAGAATTGGCATTGATCGTGTGTCCTTGTTGAAGACAGACGAGTAACACCAATTTTAACCCTAATCGTTCAAGGAAAATTCGAATTTTTGGAAAGATTTTCTTTATCTTCTGCTTTTTCTTTTAGATCCGAAATTGGTTAGATTTGAGGAGATGTGGTTATGGATTGGGAGTCAGGGGTGAGTGGGGGTTGTGTGGTCGAAGTTTGGGATGGATTGGGCTCCGCCGCCGGCCGTTGGAGGCTCAGGAATTTGGAGGCGGTGGGCTAGGGTTTTTGAACTTGGGGGAGATGAAGTGAAGAAGGTACATAGGATAAACTGAAGGGGTTTGGACACTTTAATTGAAATAGGGGACGTTCTTTGGGCCGTTGGATGAGATAGAATGGAAGGCCAAGATCTGTTTTAAGTGACTGAACTCAAAACAACGTAGTTTTGGTCCCATACTACGTCGTTTGAGTCGTCTAAGTGACTGAAGGTTGGACCGGGTTGGGGCGTGGTTTGGGCCTGGACTGGAACGGTTCTTTAGGGAAAAATTGTTTGGACTATTACGAATTGTCCCAAAATCAAAGCCTTTCTTTTGATTCTTTTCCTTTTCTTTTCAATTTCCTATTTTCCTTTTCTTTTCAAATTAAATTAAACCCTAAATTAAGTCTTAAACTGAATTAACTTACCAAATTAAATTAATTACTCATCATAGTATTTACAACAATTAATTAATTCCCAAATTAAAATAAAAACTACAAAATTTAAAATTAAAAAGTTAAAAAATGCAAAGTGAGTTATTTTTTGTAATTTTTCATTTCTATAAAACAACTAATTTGCTAATTAACCTAAAATGTAGAAATAAATCCTAAATGCAAGTGCAGAGTATTTTTTTGTATTTTCATGAATTAAATAAAATTAAACATGCACAGAAAAAATGCAAATAATTAAGAAAATTCTACAATAATTCCTAAAATGGCAAACAATTAAAAGAAAAAATTCAATTCTTTGGGATTCTGTAGGAGTAATTCATATAGGGCAAAATTACATGCTCACAAAAGACACTAAGGGTCGTTTGGTACGAGGTATAAGAAGGTATAAGGGTGATATAAAGATTTAATACCACCTTAATACTCTGTTTAGTTAGCAAACCAAGTATAAGTTATCCCGGTGTTAATTTTAACACTGGGATAACTTATACCTTATAGAGGGTAGGGTAATTAGCCGGTATAACTTATATCTTCTTCTTAGAAATTATGCAATTGTCATTCTTAATACAACATACCAAACAATGAATAAACAATAGTCCCATCATAACTTATCTAATATAACTTATACCAGCATAACTTATACCGGTATAAATCGTATTCCAACCAAACGCTCCCTCCCATAAATTATTTGATCAAGTAATGGAATTAAATATATCCCTCAAACATGTACAAAATAATTATATTTACAGTCAAAGCAGTAAATTATTTGATCAAGTGATCTCCCTCCCCTAAACACGATCCTTCATGTTTGTTGTGAATAATATGGATGAAAAATTTCTTGATCTTCAATTAGTTTTTGAGGTGAACTTGATATTCCCAAGGAAATGTTGATGGACCATCTTACTCAAAAAGATTTTATATTGGACAAAATTAATTATTTTTTAATTATTTAAATTTCTAGAACTTATCAATGCTAGAGTTATTTAAATACTAATCCACTAGAATAATGATACTTTAAAACCAAATATATACATAAATATGTCACAAATAAATCATCTTTCAATAGTAAATTATATTATGAGCGTGCTTTAATATTTTTCTAAAAATGATACGGTCAACATTATCATCTTTAGAAGCTTATATTTTTATTTTATAATTTATACATAATTTTTAAATAAATTTTTAATCGTTGAGAGAGGGTACCCGTGCATCGCGTGTATTATATATATATATATATATATATATATATACTCCCAAGAAACGGGGCTAAATTTGTTACATCTCTTGAGAATAACTGATAGATTATCAACTAATTGAAGATCAAGAAAATTTTCATCCATATTATTCACAACAAACATGAAGGATCGTATTTATGGGAGGGAGATCACTTGATCAAATAATTTACTGGTTTGACTGTAAATATAATTATTTTGTACATGTTAGAGGGATATATTTAATTCCATTACACTGTTTGGGTTTTAAGCTTATTTTAGCTTAAAAGAGGGTGAATGGAAAATGGAGAGAAAAATAAAAATTTGATTTTCCCTCCTTGACAAAAAGACATTGTCCCATATTGGAGGAGGAAAAGACTTTTGATGGGTATATATACAGTTGCTCTTCTTCTAGCTCTTAAAGAGTTAAGAGGAAAGCAAACCTTGCGTCATCGTTACTCGGTTCGATTTCGGAATTGGATTTGGTCAAATGATCGATTGATTGATTAACATTTTGGACCAAATTTATTTGTTAATATTTAAGATTAACGTAATATTATTTAATCCAAATTATCCGTTTTTGTAACGAAAAACTAATTTTCCTCCGCGTTTTGAATTTTCGTTTTTATTTTGCATAAATAGCCATTTACGTATGACCTTTTACGTGAACAACCATGACGTACCTTCTGAAGAGTTGCACCTCTTTGTTTAAACTCAACATGTTGACTATAAATAGCAGACCATTCCCTCATATTTTCCTTACGAAATTTCTGAATTCTCCTCTTCCTCTGTGCATTGTTTTAACTACAACAAAGCTATAGTAAGTGTGATTTGCTGCCGCCATCTGTGTTCATTGAAATACTGGGGTTTGAAGTACCGCTACATTAGTGTGTAATCCGTTCTATCCTGGGAGGAAATAATCCACAACCTCGGGTACTAGGAGCGGATTAAGTTCCTTAAGAAAATACTGTGAATTCAGTGAGCTCGGATTAATTTCTACTTCTTTTGCATTTTTGTCTATACATTATTTTTTCTCTAGAATTATTTTACAAATACAATATACTAGCGTACACTTGTTTTTGTATTTTGATTACAAAGTACAAAAGAATATATGATTTAAAAGAGAAAAAAGCTGATCTCCCGGAACTTACTAAAGTTGTGTATAAAAATTTCTTTAAAAAAAGTGGAAACCAATTTAGAAGTAATAAAAAATAAAGTTAAGCGAGGAGGGGATAGTAGATAAATGTTTTAGCAGGTTTCTAGGGGTGGATTGCCGACCATCTCTAGCGGTTTTTGTTATGATTGTACATATTTTACCTTTGGTAATAAAAGTTACTTATTTACCGGAATAAAAAATAAAGTTAAGACTATTTTTTGGGACAAAGGCAGAATTTTTTTAAATTAAATGCACATCGTTGATGTTAATGCGACCTACAGTTAACTGGTCCTTAACGCCCGTCAGCTAGCTCCGTTAACATTTTATTTTACATGTAAAAGGCAATAGGAATGTAATCTCTATGGATCTAATTGAATAAAATAATAATTTAAAATAAATTGCCCCCACGCAGGATCGAACTACGGACCTTCAGTTTACAAGACTGACGCTCTACCACTGAGCTATAGGGGCTTCTTGCCATTAAAACTTTTCTTTTCATTATATATAGGCGATTACTAATTGTGATTCTTTTTCTCTTTTTTCTTTTTTTCCCTTTTCGGTGTTGGTGCGGTTCATTGTCCATTTGAATGTGCGAGCATCCAATGGAGAAGGAGAACCCCTTCGATCCTGTAACCGTTCCTTCTTCTCTTTTCTCAATTTTTCACTTTCGGTTTGAATCATGTAATACTACATCAAACTCTAATTTTTTCCCTGAGTAAAGTATTCAATCTGAAAAATTGGAACGGCTTTGTGTGGCTCTAAACAGGATTTGGTCCACGAAATTTTCAAGCTTGTTTGGAAAAGAAAAGCTGCAGGTCTAATTTCACCTTTTCTTCTTTCTGCAATTGACCTTTATTGCTTTTATCTTCGGCTATTTGGTTACGTATTTGATAATTGTTGCAGAGCGTGGGAAAAATGAAATATCTGAGAATATGGACAACGAGGTATATATAAATAGTTAGTCCTTTCCTTTTCACTTTACTCCTTTGTTGTTTTCCGAAATCTTTATTATTTAATTTTTATCCGGTGAAACTAGAGTAAAAGATCTGGGTTTGAGTTTTTCCAATGTTTGGGAATTTGTTGGAAGTATTATGTATATGGTTTAAGTGTGTGCTGTTGAGCTTGAAAGCATTGTGTAAATGTGCTTGTAGGTTGGGGCTAGCTCATCAAAGAGAAGTCGGCCTACATTTGGTAAGAACTGGCCCAATAAATAGCTGATACTATTTGTTTTCAGCTCAATTATACCACTATGTTGATAATTAGCCATGTTTTTTTGTGGAACTTTTGGAATCGTGGTTTTGAATTGGATATTGATTCAATTTGTCCAATATACTCTGCTAAGTGTTCGATTTTGTGAGCGAAATTGCTTTTGAGTTTATTTGCTTTGATATGTGTATATGCATGTTACTTGATGAACTAGCTGCTGATACATACTTTGAGATGGTTTTTCTTTTTAAAATGTCGTGTCAATTAAGGCACGTCCTTTCTGAATATGTCGCAAATAAACCAATTAAAAAGCGAAAGAAATCAATTTGTTTATTTAGGAACTTCTCTTTCAAGGTAGCCATTGTGGAATCATAGATGCCTATTGTGAAACTGCTAGAAAAGGGGTAAGACTTGAGAAATATAGGTTCTGGTGCTTTGTTATGACCTTTGCCCTAGAGGAAGATTCACAATGTTTAAATGTCACTCATGTCAAGTAGCAAGGATTTCTGAGGTAGATATTTCTTTGTGTTTTTACCTGTCAGAAAAGTATAATAGTATACTTCTCTCCGTTTTTCTATTTTATTTTACCAATATTGGTCTCTTCATGGTCATGGATATATGAGATAGCATAACTCTAAGGAAAAGGGAAGGCAATGAAGTAGTTTGATTTCTGTTTTATAACATTATATTAGCCATTTTTCATTCCTCGTAACCAATTTGGATGTATTAGAAGATTGAGTGGGTTGTGGGCCTTGTGGCAAGCTCTCTTTTCTACATATTACCTCCTTGATAACAATGGCATGTCTAACGTTTAACAAGAACTGCATTTAGTGCACCTTCCTTGTGCTGGTATTTGCATTTCCTCATGTGTGTTGGACCTCTGCTTTGTTATATATTAGCTTAAAAATGGAACATGTTCTTTGGACAATGAGTTTTCCTTCTCATGTTGTTCTTCTGTCTTGATATTAAAAGCTAATGCAAATGCACTGAAGCTGAGCTCTGAACTTCTCCGAGTCTTCGTAGCAGGTTTGACCATTAATGAACCAAAATTATGTTATTTACTTGGCTAGACTTTCATGTGCATTCTTTTTGTCTTGCGATCTGTTTCTTTGATATAGAAGCTATACAACGTGCTGCTACTATTGCTGAAGCGGAGGGCAGTATCAAAATTGAAGCAACTCATCTAGAAAGGATACTTCCTCAGTTACTTTTAGATTTTTAAGGTACTTGAGGAGATCTGGAATCATAAAGTTTTATCTCTACAAGAATGCAGAAATAGGTATTATCCTCTTGAAAATTGGATGCCTCTTTTCTTCTCTAAACATTCTAGATGTTGGATGATTTCTTCTGTAGCTCTTGGAGTAACTAGCAAATTTTGATAGTTTGTCTGTTTTTAGAATTTACGATACTCCAGGTCTTACCACATGTTAGTTCTTGGAAAAGGTGCCCCTGAGAAAAACTTCTTTTCTCAAAATAATCACAAATTTCGTAATATCATTTTTTTACTTTCTTATGGATTGAGGAAGTTTTAATGCTAGAAACCATTGTAATTGATTTCGTTGATTTCCTTCTCAAAGTGCAATTGGGCCGGATGATTGTGAATTTGCGACATTGCACATTTTTTCAGCAAGTATGTAAATCATATTCCATGTATTATGTAATCAATGTTTGCATATTATCTTGTCTAACAAAGAGTTGTTAATTGACAATGCATGTATAATCCTCTCTAATGTTAGCAAATGTAAGTTTTTATTACACACTGAGGGATGGAGAAATGGACACTGTTATGTAATTTAGTGCGGACATATATCGTACAGGAATAAAACAAAATAAGGTCTTAGTCCATGCTGTTGATGAGTTAGGACACAACACTGTAAGATACAAAAGCTTCAAATGAAAATGGAAACACTAGCTTTTGAATTCAAGATTTGCGCTTTCTCGCTTTTAACTCTGATCTCACATCATAGAGGATTCTGGTTTCACAGTCAGGCGTTACAAAGTGATTACCAAGATAAGCAATCATGTTATCGGGGTCTGCTGCGTGCAAGATGCACAAGTTTTGCTTTTGCACACCTATCGGGAAAAAAAGATGCACAAATTTTGCACAGGTTTTCGCCGGACGTTCTGAATAAGTTCGGATGGTGTTACTGTATTAGTGGTTATAATCCTATTTCCTCTTCGAATGATTTTGAATGCCTGTTGTATGATATGTAAGGAACCAAACATTGATTTGCTTATTGTTCGTGTTTAAAATCTTCCATGATCTAGGGGTACTTGGTGTGTTATAGATCAGTTCATCAGTTGTTCTCTTGCTTGTGGATACAAGTGTTTCAATGTTGGTCATATTAGTTACATCGGAGAATTAGTAGTTTCTGCACTGAAAGAATTCCATTCACATCTCCAAATATAAACAATGCTGTCTGGAGAATGGTAGTTTCTGCATAGAGTGGAAATAATTTCATTCACATTTCACACCATGCTTTGAGGTATCACAATATAGTGAGGACACTTCTGTAAAGAACAGAATACACAAGTACAATATCTCATATTGGAGATTTAACAAAATACACAAGTACAATCTCTTGTATTGGAGATTTAACAGAGTACACAAGGATACTCTCTTAGTTTCATGACCAATTTTTATTTACTGTAAGTTATCCTCTACCTACTTAAGAGCTTGATCTGAGTTAACATGCATCTAACATCCTTACTGTTAGGCCTCTCCTTTGGATTATCCAGGGTGCAAAAGCAGGCAATCTTGAGAACCAAAAGCATTTGCTCCTCATACCCATTACCCATCAGCTTTGGATCAATTGCTCTTTTTGGATTCTCAGACGTCCTGACATTTCTCATCCATTTCACTTAACCCATCCCAGAAGCCGGCTGGAAGAGCTCATCCGAGGGAAACTTTCCCATAACTAGCACGCCTAGCAGCACTCCGAAGCTGTATATATCACACTTAGCTGTGAACTTAACGGTCTGGTAATATTCTGGTGCAATGTATCCTAAAGTTCCTACCTCGTGTGAAGTTGAAACATGCATAAGGGATTCTGGGATTGCTTTCGCAAGGCCAAAATCTGCAATTCGAGCTTCCATGTCATCATCAAGAAGGACATTTGCTGGCTTTAGATCCCTGTGAATTATACGCTGACTATGATTTACATGGAGATACTCAAGCCCAGCAGCAATCCCGACTGCAATTCGATGACGTGCCGACCAATCTATTTCCCGTGTCCCCTCCGTGACTTGCTGGACGGCATCCTGTAAGCTCCCATTTTTCATGTACTCATAAACCAAGTAATGGCAGTCAGGTCTTGGCATATGTGCTAGTAGAGGAAGCAAATTCCTGTGTCTTATTTGACCTACAATTTTAATTTCTGATTTAATCTGGCGCATTTTAATATTCAAAGCCTTGCTATCTTCCTCAGTGAGTACTGCAGCATCCTTCGGGGGTTCTACGATCTTCTTTATAGCAATAATCTTTCCATTACTTCCTGGTAACTCTGCTTTATAAACTTCTCCACATCCACCTTTTCCAATTCTTTCTAGTGATGCCAATCCGTCTACGTTCTCTAAAAATGCCAAGTCCTCGGCTTTCTTTATCAATGGACTGAAAATTGTTACACCTGAATCATCCTTGCTCCCTCTGATAAAAATCATAACCACCTTGAAGAGCAAGGATAAGCCCACCGCAGATAAGACCCCTGCAAAAGTTTCAGTCAGGAATCCAAGAATCCATATGCTTACCTTCTTTTTTGTGTTGTTATGTTTGTGTACTGGTACTACAATTGCACTAGGTCCTGGAGCCGGGGCATTTCCTGAATAGGACTGTGGTGCCATTGCAGATTTGTGACTTGACCTTGTTGAGTTTTCTGCAAGAATGTAACGCTTAAGAACATAATCTTTTCGGTTCAAGTCTGCTGATAAGTGCTGAAATGTTGAGGAACCGGAGATTTCTGAAAGATTTCAAGGATTGAGGTATTTTGCCAGTGAACATGTTATCAGCAAGGGACAATTTTTCAAGGTTGGGAAAGTATTTCAAGAAATTGAGGTTCCCTGATAACTCATTAGAAGAGAGGTCAAGGATTCGAAGGCGGACAAGAGATGATAATTCAGATGGGACTTTGCCAGAAAACTGGTTGTTTTGAAGGTTCAAGATTCCCTGATATCTCCTATTGCTTTTTTTGAGCCTTTTGAGCCGAGGGTCTCCTGGAAACAGTCTCTCTACCCTTCGGGGTAGGGGTAAGGTCTGCGTACATATTACCCTCCCCAGACCCCACTTGTGGGATTATACTGGGTCGTTGTTGTTGTTGTTGGCATTCAACAATTTGAGTTGGGATTCTGTCAAAGAGGTTGTTGTTTTGGAGGGACAACTCATTGAGCTCGGAAAGCTTGCCAATGGCAGGAGATAGAGTTCCCCTCAGTTCATAGGACTTGAAAACAACCCCTGTGACTCTAAGCACGTATGAATTGTTTGTGAATCGTCTTTCACATGATATTCCAACAGAGTTGCATGGGTTCTCTATAGCACTACAGAAGAGATAGGTGAATATGGGAGGTAGTGGAGGCCATTGGGTGGCGGTTTCCCCGAGTTTTATGGTGGAATAGGGATGAGAGTGTGGTGAATGAGGCACCACAGTATTGTGGTGCTTGAGTAGTGGGATGTATATATTTTTAGTTGTTTGGTGGGTTTTATAAAAGGAAAGGTTGGTATTTATTTAAGGCAATAAGAAGCAGAACAAGACTTCATAAGTCAAGCTAGGACCATGTGGAAAACTTGAGTCTCCCAGGGCGATTTAATTTCTTTTTCTAATGAGTTGACTAGTAAAATTCCTCATTTGTCATTTGCCATTTGCCATTTGCCATTTGCCAAACCCAACAATTGGGGATAAGAGTATTTTATTCCTTTTCTCGATTTTTATTGTGTGTTGTCTATTAAAATGTTCAGTTGTATTTTGGTTAAACACGTTCCCTGATAAACTTATTCATGTTTGAAATCTTAAACCTTCTTCTATTATATAAGCATTTCATGTGCTTTATCGTTTTTGTACTTTCATAAATATCAGTCTTTATTATGCATCGTATATTGCACGTCAATAAAGAAAAAAAAGTACATATCTTGTACGTGTATTTCATGTTAACTAACTTTAGTGTACGTGCGTTGCACGTGTAAACTTGTCTATTCATAAAAAAAAAATGTATATAACAAAAATAAAATGTGTGTAATAGCAATTAGCGTCATAATAGATCCAATATGCATTTAAATGGAAAAATGAGTGTCATTACATTAACTTAGTAGGCGAGTTCAAAATTGTTGGATACTGAACCTGCCAACATGAATAATTGAATTAGTTAAGTTAGTTATATAACATTTGCAATGAGAGATGTTGTATTGTATGAGATATTATGATGTAATATAATGTTCTTGTATCCTCTTTATAGAGGATGTTTTTGGTGTATGTTCGGTTGCTTCAACTAAACTATCATGGCCAAATTATTGTTGGCATTAATATTCCTCCTAAAAGTATAATATATAGTACCATGTAAAAATAAATATATATACGCGACAAATATAGTTCAATTTTGAGGATTGTTTGACCCTGTAACTTATTTATTGCTGACGTAACTACAAATTATTTAACTTGTCATTTTTTTTATTTATCACAAATATTATGCCCATACAATAAAAATGTCAACTATTAATCTATGGTTTCTATAAGGCGGTGAAACGTATAAACAATCATCAAATTATACTCATCCCTTCAAGTTAAATAACTACTAGGTAATAGTTTAGGGGTCGTTTGGTTGGAATACGATTTATATCGGTATAAGTTATATTGGGATAAATTATGCTGTGATTAGTTATGTTGGGATTGTTGTTTATTCATTGTTTGGTATGTTGTATTAAAAATGACAATCGCATAATTTCTAAAAAGAAGGTATAAGTTATATCGGTGCTAATTACCCCCATCTTCTATAATGTATAAGTTATCCCAGTGTTAAAATTAACATCGGGATAACTTATACCTGGTTTGCTAACCAAACAGAATATTAAGATGATATTAAATTTTTATACCACCCTTATACCTTGTTATACCTCATGCCAAACGACCCCCAAACTATTAAGTCCATCAATGCAACATGAATGCGTGTACCGTTAAATAATTAAGGAAAATGATATGGTATGCAACACAACAAAAAGAGAATTGACAATATTTTAGCCTTATATTATGTCTGGTAAATGGTAATAGAAACTCAAAAAAATTGGCACTTAATAACCAAAATCGTTTTTCTTAAAAATAGCAAAAATATTTAGAACGCTCTTCTCTCTTCTAACGATTGTCAATTCTTCCTAGAAATTAGGTGCCACTTCATTTCAAATTAGAGTAAAACAAATTTAATTTCGTTACCACATACACCAATATAAGAAATCTCAGGATCTCAGTATAAATGTTGGAGTTATTTTTATAATTTAAATCAACATCCTATAAAGGTGGGGAAATAAAGTGCATGGTAGCTCATGTTTTTTGAATTTGAATACAGAGTTGCTCAGAAAATGCTTTTATGCTAAAACAAACTACACTATAAATCTTACATGAATTAGCTTCACAAAGTCTATGCTTTTAAGACAATGAATGTGCATATCTCCGAATGCATACAGCTATCGTATAATTAATTATACACACAAAATACAGATACACACCAGAATGATATACAAAAAGTATATGCAAGTTTTTGCATCAAATAACGTCAGAAATTGAGAAGAAGGAAGATGACACCGATCCAATGTATTGTTGTTGATTTAGAATTTATATGTTTTTGGAACTTCAAGAATAGGTAGGATATATTTAAATAATACTTAAAAGGGTCAAATAACAATAATGGAATGAATTATAATTATGCTAGATAGTACAAATAAGAAAATTTTATATGAGAAAAAATCTTTAAAAAAATTAAATACATAAAATTTTGTTAATTTTGAAGTACTAAATATTAGATAAGTATTTAAATAATTATTTTTAAATGTTAAAAAAATTAAATTGATTATTTTGTCCAATACGAATTTTTTTAGGACTAACAAGTTGAACTTTTTTTTTTTTTTTTTTTTTTTTTTTTTTTTTAACAAAAACCAAAGACTATTAAACTTAAAAGAAGTCCTTAGTGGTGTGCAAAAATGGAGTCCTGACAAAAGTTTGCTACTTTAATAATTTTTTTCATACGTTGGTTTCTTGTTATTAATAAATTTGTTATGTTACGTTATATAAATACGGAA